AATGTTTTGTTCTGTCATAATTCTGATTGTTTCTGTGTTGAATAATTTATTTTATTTACTTTTATTTTAATCTATTAATTCTCACTCACAATGAATTAGATTGTGCTATTAAATTTATTGATAATTTGAAAGTAAAATGAAATTGACAAAATACAATGATTTTTGATTAAATATTTAGAACAACCAATGAAATATTTATTAAAATTATTTAATGAATGGTTAAATAATCATAATGAAATACCTCTTCATTTTATTCAAGGAAGAACAATATTAATATATAAGAAAGGAGATAAATTAGACACACAGAATTACAAACCAATAACTTGCTTAAATTGTCTGTTAAAAGTATATACATCAATATTAAAGATGAAAATAGAAAATCAATTGATGCTAAATCCAATTGAAAAACAATTATCATTAAATCAAATTGGATGTAAGAAATATACATATGCATCAAAAGAAGGATTATTATACAACACTGTAATCAATCAATTATTAATAAATGTTAAATTGAAGTGGGTAGAAACATATTATGGTATTTCCAAAGCATATGATAGTATTAATCATCAATGGATTAAACAATGTTTAATATATTTTAATATCCCACTAGTAGTAATTAATAATATATCATATATATTAAATAATACATATATTAATTTATATTATAATCAAGAAGTGATAGTATAATTAATGTAGAAAGATGAATAATACAAGGTGACAACCTATCTCCACTTTTATTTGTATTATCCATTGATATATTATCTAAACAATTAGATAAACAAATAAACAAATTAAATATTAAAATGAATGGAGAAGAAAAACAAGTCAAGTTAAATCACATATTATATATGGACGATTTAAAAATAATGAATAATATCCTCGATGAAATGGAAATTACACAAATTAACTAAAGAAATATTTAATTGAATAGGATTAAAAATTAATGTAGAAAAAGTGGGATAATGACTAATATTAATATTCAAATAAATGGAGAATTAGCTGAACTACCAAGAGTAACTAATGACAACCCTTATAAATATCTTGGTATTGAAATAGGAGATAAAATAAATATCAACAAATACTGTACAAGAATATTAAATGATGTGTCTTCTATTCTATCATCATTAAATACTATGAAGTATAGCATTCTCAATACAATAAGAAAGATTAATAGTGATATAATCTCCAAATTAAGATATGGATTTAGTATTATCCCATGGAAACTATGAGAGTTAGAGAATATAGATAAACAAATAAGAAAGTAATTAATACAACTCCAATTATACAGTAGAAATATTCCAAAAAGTAGATTATATGTTAAAATAAATGAAGTGTGAATAAGACTAATGTCATCAAGAGATGAATGTGGTAAATAATTAATAAGAATATATTTAAAATAAAAATATCAAATACAGAAATAGGAGAAATGACAGAAGCAATAAAAGAAAATCCAAATGGAATAATTAAAAGAATGAAGAAAGCATTTGGTAAGAAGATTAATTTTAATGAATGAATATAATAGAAATAAATGAAAGAAAACATGATGTAAAGAAAGTAATTGAATTGGTAAATAATGAATTAAATGATATTGAAATAAATTGAAATAAAATGTGGTGAATATATAAGATGTGCAAATTGCACTTTCAATAATAAGAAATTAACAGTAGCCACATGGAGGTCATTAAATATAAAAAGAAATACATTCCTCCAAATAGTAAAAATGCAAGAAGGAGTAACTATGACAGGAAATATTAAATCTAAAATACTCAAAAATGATGCATTAAAATATTGTAAACATTGTCATAACACTATCACATCTATTAATCACATACTGTTATGATGTAATGAAAAAGAATCAAATATCAAAATATATTTATGTTTGTAAACAAATATTTAAACATTTATTAATTACATATTTTAATGAATTTGATTCATTTGGTTTTAATATTCCTCATAATTGTATTAATAATGATGAAATGGTTATAACTTACAATATTGATTTATTGGTTAATGAAAATTCATTTCCATGCTAGAAGACAAGATATATATTATCAAAATATGAAAGAAAATGATATATTATAGATGTTGTTATATGTCAAGATAAGAATGTAGAATTCAATTATATTCATAAAATAAGTAAGTACAAAGAATTATAAGAGAAAATAAGAAATAATAGAGAATTAATATATGTAGAAATAATACCTGTAATATTATCAATAAATTGATTAATACATAAAGAATCAGTAAGAAGATTAAAAGCACTGAAATTACAATTAGACTTTCTCAATACTATACAAATAATAACAAACAAAATATGAAAGACTTAATGTTTTACACATGAAATTCTAGAAACATATTAAAATAAGAACAATCTAATTCAAGTGTGTTTGAAATAAACTCTATAACACTATTAGAACATATTGAAGAAACTAAAATAAACACTTCTCAATAATCATAATATTCAATTGAGGATATATCTAATAATTGACCTTTTTATTTTAATCTATTAATTCTTCTTATTTTCTCTTGACCAATTTTATCCATTTCTATTTTATTAATATTTGTCAGTCTTATCTTTGTATCTTTTTATATTTTACAATTATTGTTTTGTTATTTATCATATCAAGTATTATTTTTATTTGTATTATCTCTTTAGAAATGTCTTGTCTTTTGCAAATATTCACTTATAATGACTATCTCGTATTTCAATACTTTGACCATTTCATTCTTTTCTACTCTTTTGACTTTATCAATGTCATTTTTACTGTAGAGTAGTTTCATTTTCTTCTTTTCTTCCTGTCTCATCATTCATTAGATTTATTGTATCTTTCAATTTAGCTATTCAAAAAGAGTCTTTCCAATGCAGAACATCCAACAAATATTAATGTAATGGGTATTGAGTATGTCATTGTGTAGTGTAAAGTAACTACAACACAGAAACTCAACATCATAAGCAACGAAAAAACAAATAATATAAAAGAATAAAAAGATATAAAAGAGTAAAAAGAAAGTAGAAGAAGATAAAAAGAAGATAAAGAGTAGTAAATCAAAAAGAGAAAATAAAAGAAAGAAGAAATAAAAAGTGTATTTTTATTGTAAAAAATAGAAATATCCAATAAAAGTTTGTCTAATTCAATTATGTAAAATAATTGGTATTGTTTTATTAATGAAAATATTTTACTCTTTTTATGTTTATTATTTATATGTATAACTTCATCATGATGTTTATTATATAATCAATCATATGTGTTATGTTATTATAACATATAATAAGTGATAAAATATAAATGAAAATGATATGAATATATAACATAGATTGAATATAGAAAAACAAAAGAATAACAAGAATAAATGATAAATATAGAAATGATAATAAATGATATAATAATAAAATCAAAGTATAAAAGATAAAATTAATATTAATATAAATCAAAAGAGAATAAATATAAAAATGATAAAGATGAATAAACAAATAAACAAATACAACTAAATAGAAAAGAATAACAATAAGAAAATCTAAATAATATAAATAGAAAAAACATAAAATAAGAAGAATATAATAATATAATAATATAGAGATAATCAGATAATATAAGTAATATAATAGGACAAATAAGTATAAAATAAGATAAAAAGAATATAAAAATAAAATAACATAATAACAAAAGAATATAAATAATTAAATATGTTGAACTAAATAATTCATCTATTTCATTAATATTTCATACAAAATGACTATAAATGATTATAAAATATAAACATAAATATTTACATATTCTGTATTTATCATACTTTTTATTTTTTATTTTTATTTAGGAGCAAAATATAAAAAATGAATATTCTAATGATACAAATTATTTTGCATCTTTTTTTTCTTTTTTTTGTAAATTATTTAGATGTATTATTTCTTTGCTTATTTTCGTGCCCATTTCATTAATATTTCTATTGTTGTAATTTCATCTACTTTCACTTTTTATCATTGTTGTTTATTTTATCTTTCATATCTTTTCTATTTTATTATTCATTTTCACTTCATCATTCTTCTCATTTTTGAAGAAACATTGTTATTTTATGAATAATAACAATCTAAAACGGTAGTTCATATTATCATTATTTTTATTATTTCTTTTAATTATGGAATTGATTTGAGTTGGAAATAATTGTTATATTTCTTCTTGTTTCTCTTATCTTTTTTATTTCTTTCATTAATTCATCTTCTCTTTTATGAAGTTCTATATATTCTTCTTTGTTTATCTTTATTCATCTTTCTTCTCTTATTTCTTGATTTTCTAATGTTCATTTTGATGTTTATTATTTTAGTCTATACCAAAATAAATCTTCATCATCTTTTCTTCTAATTTTGTTAGGTTGTTTCTTCTCTTCTTCTTTCTCTATTTATTCATTTCTACTACTCTTTCATTTCTTTGACTTCTTTTTAGTTTTATCTATTTTTTTTCTTCTTTATCTTCTTCTACTTCATTTTGTTGTTCATCTATTGTTTCTTTAATTATTCTTCTCTTCTTTATTTTCCACGAATATTTCTTCTTTTTTACATATTCTATTTCACTGTTCTTTCAATTTCTTCATTCCTCTTTATCCTTTCTTCATCTCTGTTTTTGCTCATTGTTTCTTTTCTCTCTCATTCATTGTCTTTTCTTGTAACTTCATTTATTCTTATATCTTTTTCCTGTGTCTTGGTTAATCTCATGATACGATTGATTGAACATTCTATTTGTATTGTGGTATTTGTGATTATACTTCATGCTTTTATTTTCATTATGAATGTGTTTAAATGAGAAATGATTGTGGAGATTATAATTATGATAAAAGATAATAAAGTGGTTATGAACATTATTTCAGTGAATGTTGATATAGCGATTATAGTCAATGGAGGGATGTCTAGTTATTTGAAAGTGAAAAGTACTTTTATGTGATTTTGGTGACAAACTTGAGGAGTAGAAATAGGTTTAAAAAGAATTATAAAAAAATAAATTAATGTGATGGAATTTAAAAGCCATACTCCACCTCCTCTAAGAACTGACTTACTTACAAAATTTAAACAAATGATTATTGCATTACCCAATACTTCATATGTTTTAGGAGAACGTTTTGATGAAATATTTGGAACAACATCATTAGAAGTTTTTCTTACGAAACTTAAAACAGTCTTTGGAGAATTTGTTAATAACAAAAGTGTTGATGAAGCTAAAAGAAAAGAGGTTATTGATTCCTTTGAGTTTTATGCTGATAGATTATTAGACCTTTATACACTCTCCTAGTTTGTTTATTATTAACAAATAATAATATAAAATGATATAGAAACACTAATAATTAGTGAAGGAAATGAAGAAGAAATGAAAAATTACAGTCATTTGTCGTTAGGACGTCTTCCAAAAAAAGAAGATTTATTAAGTAATTTTGATGCGTCTTTACCTACTAAAAGTGATATTCCAAGTTATAGTTCCATCTTTAATGAGACTAAACAAGAGAACCAACCAACATTACCTGCACTTTTATTAAAAAAGATTTCAGAAGCAGACAGTGACTTATTAAAGAAAGTTGTTGAAATTGTTTCTCCAATTAATTCATGTTGGAATTGTCAAATCTTCCTTGAAGACTTGAGTGATGAAGTTGTCGATAAATTAGTTGCACTCTTTGAAATTTCTCCATCAGAATATTGTGGTGGTAAAAATGAGTAAATGTACTTTCATTTCTTTATTTATTTCTTATTTGTTTATTTGTTTTGTTTCATAAATTCTGTTCCAATTCAGAACATCCAAAAAATGTTAATGTAATGGTTATTGAGTATTCCATTGTGTAGTGTAAAGAAAAGTAACTATGAGATAGAGATTCAACATCATATAAAAGAATGAATGTCAATATCATTAAATGGCATAAAAATAACAATGATGATAAAAGAAATACAAGGAAAATGATTTAAAAGATGAACAATACAAAGAAAAACAAATAAGAAACAGGGAAATACATTAATGACAACGATTATACACATAACAAACACAAATGATTAACACGAAATGATAAAGAAAAAAGAATAAGAAGATTAAGAAGTGAAAGATGAAAATGTGAAGAAATAAACAAGAAGTATGAAGGAAGAAGTGGTATGATTATCTTCAAGAAATATATTCCAACCAAAAATAAATGAGAGAAATAAAGAAGACAATAAAGAAAGAAGAAGGAATTAAAACCAAAACAGATGAAGAATGATAAATAATCAATAAGAAAGAAAAACACAAGAAAAAAACAAAGAAGAAAGAAAAGAAATAAGTATAAAGAATTGAAAAATAGAATAAAGAAAATAGAAGAAGATAATAAAGAATAACAAACAAATGAAAAAGAAAGAAAAAGAACAAAACATCATCAAGGATGATGGAGATGAACAAAACTACTCCTATGAAAAAGACAGTAGTGGAAATAGAAAAACAAAACACTGATTGTCAAAAAACAAAGTATAAGAAAACTACAAGAAGAAATAGAAAATACAACAAAACAAAGAAATAGAATTTTAATTGAATTGATGTATTGTTTTGAATTAATTGGTTAAATAAGAAATTATATAAGAAAATAAGATGGGAACAAATAGAAAATATAATAAAAGTAATAAACATCAATGTAAATAATGAAAAAGAATATATTAAATATATTAAAATATCATATAAAATAAAAGAAAATACTAAACAGTACATTAAAGTGAAAGAAAATGATATAATAGAAGAATAGAGTGTGATTCAATAATAAAAACATCATATTAAAGAATAACTCTACAGAAATTGATGAAGAATACCTTAACACTCTCATCAATAAAATAAAAGAAATGAAAATATAGAATTGTGCAAACATTAATTACTACTTTCAAAGAAAAGAAACTGATGAATTAATAATAATAAGTGGATAATGTTAGGAAGAAGAATGCATGAAGTTGAAGATGATATGAATATTTCAATGGTTATGCACATCTATCTCCAAAATAAAATAATAAGAGATAAAAATGATGAAATAAAAGAACAAGATGATGAAAATATTACAAATAAATGAATAGAAAGAATGAAGTACATAAAATATATGATGACAATGATAAAAGAATTAAATTTAATAAGGAAGAAAGGGTCAGAATCAATACAAATAAAATCATGTTTGATTCTAACAAGAAAATTAGAATAAGGAAGAAACAAATAATGAAATATATCCAAATAACGATATTACTTTAGAATAATGGAAATCGTTATATGAAACACAGGTGATATTAAATAAAGAGAAATGGAAAATAAAACAAATCACCTCATTGAATGAAAGATATTTCAATTATGACTATGTCATAATAACAATAAATGAAATAAATTTAAGTATAATGAAAATAAATAATTGAAAAACACAATGCATTAACATGAATAAAAGTAAAAAAGAAAAAGATAAAATATACATTATATAAAACGAATGAAACTCATAAATGATATAACTAATGACTCATATCACAATGTCAATGGAGATGAATGAAGAAAAGAAACATAAATAAAGAAACATAAATAAAGAAAATAGAGAAATAAGAGATTTAAAAAGAAATTGAATAATAAATTGAAACAGATGAATAATAAACACCTCAAGTATTAGATTAATTAAAGAAAAAAATGAAAATTACCATTATTAAAGAAGATAAAAATAATGACATTAAAAAGCTGAAGAGGATAATGGAACATTGAACATTCAATATTATAACATACTCAGTAGAACTAGTAGTAGAAGATTTATTTACTGGATTAATCCAAACTGATACAAAAACAATAAAAACAATTCAATTATTACTTACTATTTGCTTTTTTTTTAGTTTTTTTTGTATTGAAAAAAGAATAATCAAACTATTTTAAACATAATGAGTAATTCAGAAACACCTCGTACATTAGATAGAAAAGATGTTGTAGAACAGTTACTATTATACCAAGCAATGTTACATAAAAATAATCTTGAAATGAAAATTATTCAATGGGAAGGGGGGAAGTTATTATATTCACCAACTTCTCATTATGCACAATTACGAGAGGTTATTAAAACGATTCCTAAGTTTTGGTATTATGCATTAAAGAATAGTGGTTATTTGGACATTGTCTTTGCAAATCAAAATGATGAAAAAATATTAGAATCGTTAATTGATATAAATGTTGATTCAATGAAACAAATGTTAGATGGTAAAAATGTTGTTGATGTGATGGATACATCATATAGAGTAGTTTATTTGTTTAAAGAAAATGAATACCTTCAAACCAACGAAATATTCCAAACAGTTTATTTTACAACAACACAAAACCGTCCTGTACGTTATGAAAATAGTCCAGTCATATTTAAAAATGGGTTTGACGTTCATATTGTTAACAATCATTATCACCATTCATTCTTTGATCAATTCTTAATTCCATATGAATCATTAAATGAAGAAGAAAAAAGTGATGCATTAGCGAATTTACATATTATTTTATTTGATATATTGAAGAATCCTGTCCATTTTTTTAAAGGAACAATGGGTCAGTATGAACCAAAAGAAGAAGAAATACTTCATAACTTAGAGATGGAACAAGAAATGGATGAAAGAAGAAACCAACTATTAAATGAACAACAAACAACTAATACTCATTCAGAAGAAAAAACAAATAATGAGCAAGAAATTACCACTAGTCAAATTAAAGAGGAAGAAAAACAAGAACAAACCCAAAAAGAAACAAAAGAAGAAATTTCTTTACAAGAAAAGGAAATGAATGGTATGTCTGAAATAAACAATGATGAACAAATGAAACAAGACTCTCAACCTTCAAATATAATTCCTATTGAAAAGTTTGAAGATAAAACAATTCCACAAGTATTAAATACACAACCAATAAAAGAAGAAAAAAATGAATTAATTAAAAATACAATTTACCAAGAAATTAAAGTAGAAGAGAAGATATTAAGTAAAGAAACAAAATCAGAACTACAAAAATAAGATTTAAAGATAAAAGGAAATAATCTAAATTGAATTTTATTAAAAAGAAAAAAAGAAAAAGGGTTTGAATTATTTTGTGTTTTTTATAAATAACTTTTTTTTTAAGAAAAGAAAAACTAAAAATTATTAGAATGCAAAAGTATCAATCAACATTTAATAGAGTTCAAGAGATTGTTCAAAATATTAAAAGAGGGTTTGAATTTATCTATATAAGTTTAATCAATAACAGTGTATATTTATAATAAATTATAGAGTTGTGTATGGAGCATATCAATCATCTTCTCCAATTCTTTCATTATTATCAAGACTTATTGAGAGAGAGCATTTTGAAAGACCTGGAGAATTAATGAATGTTTTAAAAGGAATTGGTAAATATGTTCAAATAGGGACACAATCAGAATATGCTACAGTAAATATTGTTCGTCGTGTTATGTTTATGGCAAGAGAAGTTGAAAAAAGTATGTTAAATGAAGATTTTGATGTACAAGCAAATGAATTACATAGATTAACATTTGAACATCAAACAACAAGTACAGTTGATATGGTTAAATATAAAGAATTATTAGTTGAAATGATTAAAGAATTTCAACAAGAATTATCTACACTTTATGAAAGTATTGCAGAACAAGGAGAATTGTATATTAATGATAATGACACTATTTTATTATATGGTAAATCAAGAACTGTATTAGAATTTGTAGCTGGAGCAAAAAGAAATAGAAAATTTAATGTTATTGTTATTGAAAGTTTACAACGACATGATGAACAAGAAATAGTTAATGATTTAAAAGCTAAAGGAATTCAATCACATTTAATTTCTGAATCATCTTTATTCAGTATTTTACCTCGTGTAAATAAAATTATTCTTGGATGTCATTCAGTTTTTGCAAATGGTGGACTTGTTGCTACTTCAGGAGCTTATAATTTATGTAGTGCAGCTAACCATTTCCATGTACCAGTTTATGTATGTACTGGGGCTTATAAAATTTGTCCAAATTTCCCAACAAATTCAAATGGATTTTCTTTAATTCAATCACCATTACCAATAACACCAGCAATTTTATCTACACCAGCTATTGGTCGTACAACAACTGGACTTGAAGAAGTTCTTACAAAGAAATCAGATGTAGATGAAACTGTTGTTGTTAATGAATATCAAATAAAAGAAGCTCAATATGTTCGGGTAATTAATTCTACATTTGATTATATACAACCTGATTGGATCAATTTATTCATAACAAATGAGTTTGTTTTAAATTTGTCTTCATTTTGAGTTAAATAATAAGTTTATTAACTTTTTTTAGAAAAGGTGTTTCACCATCTTATATTTATCGTCTTGTTGCTCAATTATATAATCCTGAAGATACATTCTTTATTGAAAGTGGAAATTAATTCATTGACTATTTGTCACATTTTTCAATATTGTTATTTGGTTTTATGTTATATGAGAAAGTGTATATCCTGTAAAGATCTTCAAGACTGAAACAAAGAAATGTTTAAAGTAAAAAAATAAAAATAAAGTAAATTATTAAAATAATATGCTGCTTGGGTGCAGAAAGAAGATCGCAAGAAGATTCTTTCTCAAAAGAAAACTCTGAGAACTATCTGAGAAATCAAATGGAGATGAAAAGGAAGGAAAAAGAAAATTGAATTTTGAAGATTATTTGGAAAAGGTTAAAGCAAAAAAAAAAAAGGAAAAAAGGGTTATTTTATAGAATAAAAGAAAATTGTTTTTAATAGTTTTTATTGGTTCATTTAAAAATAGAAGGAATGATAGGCAAATTAATAATAGAACTAATAGTAATGAATAGTTTCATGTATAATACTTTCGTAGAAGAAAATAAAAATCTGAAGATGATTTTAACTTTCGATTTACCTAAAAAAAAACATAGGATAAAGAATGTTCTTCCATGTCATCAGAAGTACTAAGAAAAGCAGAAAGAAAAGAACTTAAAAAGTTAGTACATACCAACAGTTTTATTCAATGTCCTTATTTAAAATATTTGTACCCAAAGAAGAATCTTTACTTAATAAAGCATTGAAAACTGAAAATGGAAAAATTCCTAAAAACATTGTTAAAAAATTAAAAGAAATGGAAAAAGATTTAATGTCATCTCAATTGTTAAATCATGAGATATTAACTCGTATTAAAAGTAACTTAACTACTAACGAATATCTTCGTCTTCTTTGTGTTATATTTATTATTATTAAACATGATTCAGATAATGCATTATTAATGAAAATTGTATCAAACTCTGTTCAATTCATTACCCATATTCCTGTAAATTATAAGACACAAGAAGAAAAAGAACTAATGATTGTTTTTTCAAATCACCTTGATTTATATACTTCTTTGTATGTTGATGATTCTACTGCTTTAGACAGGTCAATTACACTTGATAAAATATCTATTCTTCATTCAGATAAATCATATGATCAAACTATTAGTTTGTTTCTATTTATTTTAGTCAGCTAATAAAATGTACATTTTAAATAAATATATGGCTCATATTATTAGACACTTTAACTTCTATGTTTTTTAATTTTATTTCATTAGACTGGAATAATCCACGTTTCTTTATTAATAAATTCCATTTATATATAATCAATTTCTTTATTAAAGAATTAACGACTACTTTCTATAGACTATGTTGTTATATACAAGCTTACTTTGATACCATAATTAATGCACCTCCTAATTCATTAAAAACTTCACTAAAAATTTTACTTAGATTCCAAGAATGTCAATCTTTTTTTAAAAAAACATTAGAAAATCCAAATGTAAGAAATTACTTTCCAAATGCTCCTTTATATATTCCTGTTGATTTGGAAACTTTTCAAGAATTACTTTGTGCTAGAATGATTAAAAATCAAGAAACTCTTGTTGAATTAGCAGGAATTCAAATTCCTGAAGTGATTAAAGGTGCTGATATTAATATGCTTACTAATAATTTAAAAGTGGTTAATGAAAATTTTCAGAGGGAATTAAATGAGCAAATGATGAATATTATTTATTTCACTCGTATTATTGTTGACTCATCTTCTGTTACTAGAGACATTTCAAGGTCAACTTCTAAACAAAGAAATACATCAACCCTTTCTGAAGGAAGAGATGATACACAAAGTAATAGTATTAAAGAAGGGATGGATAAATGTATCAAAAGTGTTTCTGAAAGACGAATTCATTGTCCTATGGCTTCACAACCATCTACACCTGTAATAAGAAATCAACGAATTTCATTTACATTAAATACTAATACATTACCAGACCGTTATTTAACTTCAAGTGGAGAAGTAAGTGTTGTGTTCTAAAGAAAGTAATTTTATAATATTTATTTCTACTTAATGATTAATTATTATATCAAATCAATTCTAATCAATTCATTTGAAATATAAAAAAAAACAAGTTTTTAATTCATTTGTTTGTAAAACTTCTTTGTGTTTATTTTAAAGTTATTAACTTGTGTTTTGTTAAAAATATAATCTTATTAAGTATTACTTTCTTAGTGATTGATTTTGTTATTATTCACTTTGTATGAAAGATACTTGATAAGTATTACAAAATGTCTATACTCAAAAATGAATATTCAACAACAAATGTACCATTTGATACATTGTCATCCATTATTTCTTACAGATCCATTTGAAGTATATAAAGAAAATCATGGATGGTGGAAATGTGATTTATGTGGCTCTAAACCATTAAGAAATGAATTAATGTATCATTGCGATGAATGTGAGTTTGATGTTTGTGCATCTTGTTATCATCAGGTTATTGCTCATTATCATCATTTAAATCATACTTTTGAACCAGACTATGAAAGTAGAGGAAAATGTTGTGATTGTCATAAAGAAAATAATGATAAATTATTTAGATGTAATCAATGTGTTATGGCATATTGTAAACAATGTTTTGAATCTCTTTATATCCCATCATTTCATCCTCATGCACTTTATGTTTCAAGTCCTTCAATTCTTTATCCTGGTAAGTGGTGGAAATGTGATTATTGTCAACAAGTCTTTGGTAAAAACAAATTTTCATTATTATTTCATTGTAGAGAATGTCATACGGATTATTGTTTTCATTGTCTATCTTTATCTCTCAAATCATAAATAGTTAAAAATTCAGATTTTGAAAACAATTCATCATTCCTATTTCTTAAATAACATTATATTTTAATAATAAAATTGCTATAAAAACTTATTATTATTTATTTTTATAAATTTTTTTTAGAAAATTCAACGTTTAAATTTATTGTTTTTTAGAATAGTTTTTAATAAAAAACTAACACATAATTACATTCCAACGAAATAGAAATTATTCCTTTCTTTTAAATATAAAAATAAAATTCTATTTTTGAAAAGAAACAAATAAAATCAAATTATGTGGATTTTTTTCAATTATTTTTTCAACAAATTAAACAATTTTATTTATTTTAAAAGGGGTATTTTAATAAAAAAATAATAAAATATCGGGAGATTACATTAAAATTAATTTACAGAAAAAAGAAGCATTGTATGAAAGATGGTTACAAAAAAGAGAAAAAATAGTGTTTTTCAAAATAGATTCCAAAATTAGAACTAAAATGACGTGGAGCTTGTTATTTATCAGATCTAAGGTTAAACTACTCATTAACTAAATGCAAACATCTCAAATGAATCAATACTGTAATACTAGAAAATTTCCAGTATTTGATGCAATAGATTCTACTCCTGTTTTAGAAGATAATGAACCATATCATTTAAAACTTTGTTTTTGTCCATTATGTCAAAAAGGAATGGCTGTTTTAGCAAAAGAACAATCAAGAAATGTTATTTCATGGCAATATATTTGTAGAGTTATATTTTATTGTTTATCAGTGATTTATAAAAAGAATGGATATTTTTCTTTAAAATATGATGTTCATTGGTTTATTGTTGATCATTGGTATCTTTTTTCTCAATTAGACCAATTTAGAACTAATCCAAATAAATGGAAAAAAGCTATTTTAGATGCTATGATTCATTGTAATTTATTTGAGTCAGGGAAATCAACAATGAATAAAACTGGTGTTTGGAAATTACGTAAATATGAAGCACCTTGGGAATGTTCAGAAAATAATTGTTGTGAATATAACAATATGAATTCAGAGAAATTAATGTCAACTGAATGTTCTCAAGAAGAATTTATTCTAAATGAAAAAGATAAAAAATGTGCATTACCTTCTCTTTCTTCTATGTATAAGTATTCAATGAATGATATTAATCCTGGAGTTACTCCATTACCTAGTCTGTCTAAAGTTCTTAATGAAAATATTAAATTAGATGATTTTAATGGTTTTGTTCAAAACCTTCTTTGAACAAAACTTTTTTTTACAACAAATGTATTTAAATGCAACAATTAATTCATATCCTTTTCATATTCATTTATTATTTTAATTTTAAAAAATTAAAAAATATTTAATAAATAATTATTTAAGTCATATGATAATCAGAATTTGTTAATGTTAATTTATGAACTACAATTGGACTACATCCAGTATCTGAATAAATAACTGATTTATTTTTAAGTTTTAATATATGTTTCCCATAAAAACAACTCCTTTGTGTACATCCTTCTAATTTCATTTCAACTCCAAATTCTTTTGAATAATATAACACATTCATTAATGCTTGATCATATCCAAAGAAGAAAGAAGGAAACCATCTCATTCTTTTTACAAAAGAATTCATTGCAATTATCATTTTTTTCATTCCACCCATTCCAAATCCACCATTTAACGAAATTTGTTTATTAATAACACTCTCCCTTGTTACTTCATCTCCAAAAAATGATTCTAACCATTGGAAATGATTATGGTTATTTGCTGGAGAACAACAAAAGTCTAATGATAATTCATTTGAAGTAGAATTAGTTGCAAATGGACATTCAGTTGTCCATATTAGATCATTAACACCAAATGTAGCAAATATATCATTAAATATAACAACATCTCTTGTATCAGAAAATATTACTCTATCATAATCACTTTGGTGTCGTTTAATATATCTGGTAAAAGCAATATATCTAGTAACTACAAAATGTCCAAATGGTATATCACTCATGTCAACTACTTCTACATTATATTTTTTCATATCATCATATAATAAAGGTGTAGGTGATGGCCATAATAATAAAGCAACAATCTTTGCATGAGGAATAGCTTGTCTTGTTATAGAAAGAGTTTTTAAAGCATCAGTTCTTTGTTTCATATAAATCCGTTTTGTAAAAAATCCAAATGAATATACTAATAAATCTCTTTTATTATTTGATTTAAATTGAAAGAAGTTTTTACATTTTCCTTCATAATTAAATGTAGCTACATCAATAACGTTATCTTTCCAATTATTTTTTTGAACAATAAAATTATTAACTTTATGAGTTTCTATTTGTTCTGAAGATAAATATAAATATTCTTTATGTTTTAATTTATTAAGATTAATTAAAGGAAAAGATATAATAATGAATGTAGTAAATGTGATTAAAGAAATTCCTGTAACAATTATTAGTAAATATGATTTCTGATATCTTTTCTTATATTTTTCTGGTATTTGAACAATTCTTTCCCAATTCATAGTTTTTTTAGTTTTTTAAACAAAAAATAAAAACTTTAAATAAATTGAAACTATTTAAAAGAATTATATAAAAAGTATTTATTTATTTTCATTTTTATTTAATTCTCCTTTCATTTTTTCAATTAAATCAATTTTTGGTTCTTCTTCAGGAATTATTAATTTAAAGTAATTTGAATTGATGAATTTTTTAATTAAATCATTATTCTCAGTTACATTAAGTAATTTATTTCTTATTCTTTCTACCTCAGAAATAAATTGAGTATTATTTGTAAATTTAAGAGAAATAAGTTCAAGCATTTTATTTGCTAATTGAATTGCATTATTAACTAATCCACAATATTGTAGTCGTTCACGTTTACTATATAATTTTTCCATTATTATTGTTGATGATTCTAGATATCCAATAATTATTTCAAGACAAAGTAAAGGATTATGTTGTTTAATGTAATTAATAAGGTCTCTTCTTTTAACTGAACCTCTTTCTGCTATTTCATCATAAAGAATTTGACATTTCTTAAGAAAGTTAAGAAAAATCTTTAATGAAGAAAAACAAATAAAAGAATGCTCGATACAATGTAAGAATGGTGTTGTAACTTGTGAAGTAAATGGAAGTATTTTAGATGTTAAAGGAATGAATTTATTAAATTCAGTTTGTGTTATAAAAGCATCAATTTGAAATTCATCATTTTCAAAGAATAGTTCAACACAATATTCTAATATTGAAGTTAATGTATCATCTGTATAGATTGGATTATAATAATTAAAGCAAGAAAAACAACAGAAACATAATGAACATGTAATTAAGTTGTCTTTTAATAATGGAAAATGTTCTAACAATAATTGATTTGCATTTATTTGAAGACAAGGAAAACTTGATGAAAGATTTACTAATAGAATAAGATCATAATAAAGAACTTCTTTAATTGAATAAATTAAAGAAAATGTGTCAGGACGAAAAGAACATAATATTGGAATAATATCAAAAAGAATTGATATGAGTTTATCAGAATGAAGAAAGTCAGGAGATAATGGATGAGTCAAATTAAGAAGATTTGATAAAACAATTTTTAATGAATGAAGAGAATTTAATGGATTTGAATGAAGTTCATTTGAAAGAAATTGAATGATATTTAACATTTGAGATATACTTAATGGAAGTTGATTATCTGCTTTAATTAATACGTAATGATTTGATTTTTGAGAAATATATAATGATTCAATTTTAGAGATAATAAAAGAAAGATCTATATGATAAACAATATTATCATATTGATAGTCATTTGATTGTTCTCCTTCAAAGAAGAAAGAGAGAAAATGTTGTTGGTCTAAAGTTAATTGTTGAGATAGTCTATAATGATTTAAAACATCAAGAAATTGTTGTTTCATTTTACTTTCTGAAAGAAGAAGTAAAGACTGAATAACTCCAGGAAGTAATTTCGAAGAAGAAAGATATAGTTTTAATAATACAATAACATAATCATATACAATATTATCTGAAAGAAGTCCAAGTCCAATCATTCTTTCAATTAAAAATGATGTAAAAGAATATGTTTGTTCAGTTGGTGAGTCATGAAGTTCTTTAAGAAGAGAAGATAAAACTGGAGTTAAATCTTCATCTGGAAGTGGTTTAATTTCTAAATAAAATTGTAACAATGCACGACTTTTCATCTCTAATGATTGTTTAAAAAGAGGTGTTAAGTTGACAGTATCTTTAAGGTATGATTTAAATGGATATTCTGTACTAATATATTCAGTTAATACTATTAATGAAAATTCATCTCTAATCATTAGTAATAAAACATATTTAATATTAAAATTTCTAAACAAACAAATGGGGTAATATATCGAGTAAAAATTGAGTAAAAATTTTATATGTTCCTTTAGATAAATAAGTAAATAGTAATAATATGATATTACAATCAATCAACTGTTGTTTTGTTTTAACTAATTGTAAATATTGTGAATAACTAAACATTTCAATTGAACCTCCAAAGTCATTTTCAAAACAAGTGATATGACGACTCATATTGGGAACACGAGCTGATCTTCGTTTTTTCGTATGGAATAAAACACTACTATCTTCACTTATTTCTCTAATTATTGGTTTATCTCCAATAAAAGAACTCTCTGAATCACCAGAGTTATAGCCAAAGAAAACTTGAGAATATGACTCATCAAAATGTGACATTTCAAAGACTTCTTTGTTCTTCTAATAAAATTTTGTTTTTCTTGTTTTTGAGATTTTGATTTTTAGTTTTTCTAATTCAAAAATACTGGCAGTCATAAATTTATTTTCTTATTTAATCTCATCTCATTTTCTTGTTCAAATTAATCAGAATGAACAAGTTCATTAAATCAAGTATGACAGAAGAACAATTACAAAAATGGATCGAAGAAAGAAAAAAAAGGTTTCCAACAAAAGCTAAAAGAGAAAAATGTCTTTCTGAAGAAAAAAAAAAAACAGATGAAATTGAAAAAAAGAAAAATGATGAAAGTAAACCCAAAAAGAATGAAGAAGAAAATGATAATCCTATTGAAATTAAAGGAAAATTAGAAGATGACGTTGGAAAAGAAATTAAAGAACGTAAAATACTTAAAGAAAAAGAAGAAGAAAATAAGAAAGAAAAAAATAAGAAAAAAAATCAAGATATTACTCAATTTATGATGGACCAAATGCAAAAACAAGTTCAAGAAGTTGAATATGATATTTTATTAGAAGCAATAGATTTTTTAATTCCAATGTTTCAATGATTATTAAATATTTAATTAACTTTTTTTATGAAATTTTTCATCTGTTTATATTATTGTTAATTCATATAAAATATCATTGAAACATTGAAATTAAAACAAATATCAAAATTGCTTAGTTGAATGAAGGAATTTATTTATTATCTCTTTTTTTTATTAATAACATTTATTTTTATGTATCACTAAAAGAGTTTTTCAAGATAATCTTCAGTTAATTGTTTTATTTGAAAAAGAAATTGTTAATGATAAAAATTGATTTTTTGTTGATATTTCTATAAAAAAAAGTTATAATTAATATCATCTCTATTTTATATGAATGGAAGTAAAATTAATATTTGGTTTGTTTTATTATAGAAAGTCTTTTCTTAATAATATCAGCTAGAGTATTTTTGTTATGGGAATAGTAAAAAAAGAAAAATATACATAAAACAGAATATTTATTAAATAGTTGAATAATAAATAAAAAAATATTCAACTAATTCTAAAATTTTTTAGTACTATGAATGGGGTTTAGTGAAATAAAGACTCATTAAAAATAGTAATGGTTAGAATAGATTTTATATTTTTCTTTGTAAATTTCATTATGATTAACAAAAAAGAAAGGTTAATAAAAAAGAATTATTACTAAGTATCTAATGTAATATAATTTTATATTTATACTCTTTATTAAAATAGTATTGTTATTGAAAGTAGAATGTCAATAATGATTAATAAGGTTTTACTATTAATTAATTAAGAAAGAACTATAATTAAATTATTAAAAAAAAATACAAATGATTATTAAATAGATAATTTATTTTTAGATAATGTATAGACATTATTCATAATAACATACTATTAATTTGATCTTCTTATTTTTGTTTTGTTTTATTTTTAAAAGCATTAATTAAAATAATTGATAGAATATAAATAGAAGAATATACACTATTATGAGAATAGAGAATTAAAAGGAAGTAGTTAATTGTTATTAATTTTTATTTAAGTAAAATAAGTCATGACTAAAATGTATAATTTAGAACAGAATTTAAAATAATTTTATTTAGTATTATAAATTAATTTAATAATAAATGTCATTTTTTTGTTTAATTTGTCATTTGTTAACAAGTTAATAGAAGAACTAAAAAAGTTGATAATTATTATTTGTTTCTATGAACCAAGACTCTCTTATAGTTATTTCAGAGGGTAATTCAATTGTTTGTAATGTTAATGTACCAGATGAATTTTTTGTAGCAGGAAAATCATGGATTGGTATATATGTAGTTAATAGAGAAAAAAATGAACATTACCATAAAAGTCAATATGTTACATCAGCAACATCAGTGATTAGATTTAATACATTAACAGATGGTATTTATGATGTAAGATATTTTAAAGAGAATTATGAAAAATGTTTTAATGCACGTGTTTCAATTGGACAATTAGTTATTCCCAAATATACAATTAGTGATATAACTTCTAATGAATATAAACTTCATTTAACATTTAATCAAGAACAATTACTTCCTGGAGATTGGTTTGGATTATTTAAAACAAGTTCAATGAGTCAAAAACATCCAATTGTTCAAATATGTGTTGACCCAAAAAAAAATGAATATGATATTGATCTTCTTCCATTAAATTTAGAACCTTATTACTATTGTTCTGAAAATGGAATTTTAACAACCAAACAAGAACGATTTGAAATTAGATATTATCGCTCAGGATGTACTTGTCGTAATGAAAGAGCATTACACACTGGAATATGGCCAAGTAAATTTTCAATGAATTTATATAGTTTTGTTCCTTCAGGTATTTGTCCTCTTAATGAAATAAAAAAGGGTGCATTATTAGTGAACATTAATAATATAAAAAATGATATTAAACTTATTTATTGTTCAAATGTTGAAAAGTTTGAAATTCAAATATATAATGAAAATGAATTAATTTATAAAAACGTATATCAACCTCGATCGAAGGAAATAACTATTAGCTTAGGTCAAACATTAATTACATCAAGTATTGAAATTCGATTAGTTTGTTCAGCAACAAATCATATCCTTGAAAAAAAAGAACATAATATGAATTAATTGAATTATTCTGCATCACTTGTTTCTGATAATGCATTTGGAGAAGTAGATCGTTCATCTACAATTTTAGGAGTTTGAATAGACGTGTTTGACTCTGATTTCTTTAATTCTTTAACACTTTCATCAACTCTTTTTGAGTACTTTTTAATAAAAACTTCAAAATAAAAATTAGCACCATTTGAAATAGCCCAAGTAACACAGAAAAGAATCCATAATAATTCTAAGTATTGATAATGATAATAAATGAATGTAGGAAGAATAGTTATTATAGTGTAAATAAATTGAACAGTTATTAAAATAACTAATGGTCTATCTTTAAATCCTTTCTTTAATAAATAAAGATAAACTGGATGTGGATGTTCTTGACTTAACCAAATAAGTGATGTAATATAATGATTCTTTTGAATAGTTTCTTTTTTAAATCCTTCTGTAATAATTAAATAAATAATTTGCCATAAAATATAAAGGAGAGATGGAATAATTAAACCATTCATTATTGTTAATTGTGGTACTGTGGTTAATACATACCATCTAATACAATAAATTACTAATCCTGGAAATAGATGAATATAAACACTTGTTAAACGATCTAAATCATGAAATACTAATGAATTTCTCCACATTGGAATTGCTGTTAACAAAGGACCATGAGAAAATACAAAAGCTATTTGGAATAATGGTGAAATATATTCAGTATTTAAAGAAAAAATACAAAGTAGAGTTATAATTTGACAGAAATAACAGAAGTCAATCATAAAGTATTGCCATCCATTCTTTTTATAAATAAAATAACGAGCTCCTAATAATGGAAAAATTAAAATAATATAATAATATGGCATAAATTGTGGAAGTGCTGACAAAATATGTTGAGTAAGTAATAATATTAATACCCCACAAACAAATGAAAATTTATCTAATGTCTTTAAAAATGGTTCTGATTCCATTAATTTATTTAATTTGTTTTGATATTTGTCAATAACAGAAAGTCCATGTTTATCCATTAAACGAGAGATATATTGGCGTTGGAATTCTCTTTGATATTTTTCTTCAAAAGAAGTAGACATAAAACCGTTTATACTTTATTATTTTTTTAAGTTCTTTCGTTAATATTGTTCTACAAAAAAATAAAAATCAGAGGTTAAATAAAAAAACAATCTACAAAAACGAAATACCACTTTCTATTTTTTCTTTTTTTTTGTAAATTAAAGTTATATATAACAAAAAATATTATTTTAGGGTTGAAAAGAGGTTCACAGAATATCTTCAATAAGAAAGTTCTTTTTTCTGAAATAAGTTGTAAAAAATAAAAGAGGAATCGAAACTAATTGTTTAACCAAAGAAAGAAACAAATAAAAATAGTAAGATTAATGATTGAAATTATGGAATGTTTTGTTTTTAGATAAGGAGATAAGAACAAAGGAAACTTGAGTGAATGGAATTAGAGTCATTTCTCTATTTACAAAAACATGAATAACGAGAAAGATAGTTCCAAAAATAAATACATCCAATAAAGAGTTTAAAACTATTCAAAATGAAAAAATAAATTCCAATGAAAAAGCTGTTCATACATGAAGAACTGAAAGTGACGGATGAAGGTATTTAGAGATTGTTGCAAAGATTAGAACTATTTTCACTTTTAGATGGACAGCACAGAGAAACCAGTAAGAAATGCCAGAAGACGAAGAGAAAAAATTGAAAAACCAGAAAAGGATTATGAAATGCTACAACAATCATTACTAATTGCGTTAGCATCACCATACTGCGAAATTAGTTTATCTAAACCACTTACAAAAACAAAAACAATACCACCAATCTTTAAGATTCAGAATATAAAATTTGAAAAAGAAGAAATGGATTTTGGTAGTGTTGTTGAAGAAAAAACTAAACAAATTGTTTCAAATGAGGTAAATCATGGAATCGATGAAAATAAAGCAAAACGCCATAGTGAAATAAATAGAATTAGTATTGCAGTAAATATGTTATTTGATATTTGTCTTGAACTTGGATATTTCTTCACTTTAAAAAAATCTAGGAAAATGTCTTCTACAATACGAATCGATCGTATTGAACAAGTCTATTTAAATGGTTCATTAATTCTATCTAAAAATCAAGTAAAAGAATCAAGTTTTAAAGCATATAATATTCTGAATGCTCTTTTTGATACTAAAGAAACTATTGTTATACCTCAAAATTGTTATGAGTTAAAAGAAGTAATTCCTTCTTTATCATAACTTTCTCGATTTTAAATTTATGTAAACTTTAATAATAAATCCGTTTAATTGATATTATTCTTTCTTCATCTCTTCTATCTCCTTTTTCTCTAATACCTTTTTTAAATTCCACAATTGATGTTTTTTATCCCATTTTTTATTAACAAAAAAAAAAAAATAAATAAATATTTATTTTTTTTTTTTTTTTTTACTTAAAAACAAAAACTTAAACCTCAAATTGTGAAAAAGTAATGAATAAACTTAAAATAAATCATTTATGTCATCTCATTCAAATACACAAACACCTGTTGTTAATATAAAACCAGTTGATCAAAAATTCCTCAAATATTCAATTCCATCTGATTTACCATATTTTCCATTTGGTCAAGATATTCAGTCATTACCAATTTCTGTTTTTAACTTACCTTTTAGTAAACATTCAGAAATACCTGAATTTGAATGTTATGAAGGAAAATATGATAAATTTACTCTTGAAAAAATAACAAAAAAAGTTCCTATTTCTGTATCAAAGATTGTTAAATATCAATCATATAATTTTAGTGATATTGATAGTATTTGTCATGGTCTTATAAAAGAAAAAAATAATTCATTAGAATATTTACATCGAACAAATCAATTGGATTCATCTATTAAATTCGCTTCAATTAATAAAGAATTTGTACTTCAAATTTTACAATTTTGTAGAAATGAACCAGAAATTATTATTACACCATCTCTTTCTGGAGCTATTCGTATGTTAGCAGAAGAAAAAGGAGATGATTTATATATATTTTTTGAAGGACTTGATGTATATAATATTTATGCCATCTTTGTTATATTATGGAACCAAGAAACTTCAAAAAAGATTACTAAACTTTGTATAAAAAAGTCTTTTGGTACACAGATATTAAATTATTATAATCAAACATCAAATGAGAAAACTAAATCAATTTGTCTTCAAACCCTCCTTTTAGTATTATTTAGAACAAATAATCCGTGTGGAATAACAAAAGACATGGGTGTTCAATTTATTGCATCATTAATCAGACAGACAGAATCTTTACCAAAAACTCTTTGTGATTTTTCTTATTGTATTGTTTATTTATTAACATCTTTTTATCCTGTTCTTCTTAGTATCTTTGAATCTACACAATTTAAAACTATTATTTCTATTGTATCTTTTTGTCCTACTGCTTTATGTGTTTTAAAAAAAATAAAGAAACCTTGTTATCACTTATGTAATATTACTTCTTCAACCCCCAGTGTTAGAATATTATTTGGACATTGTTTTAAATATACGAACCAATTATATTTAATAGAAGATTTAGGACTTCGATTAGTTAATAGCATTTGTTTATATTCTCCATTTCCATATGGTTATGAATCTGAAACATTATATGGAATGTGTTATTTATTATATGGACTGATTAAAACACAATGGAGTCAAGTTGAAAATAAACAATACATATTTGAGAATATACTTAAATTTGTTCTTCCACAAATTAGTAATTCATCTAGTTCATCTTATTGTGACCAAACAAAAGGAACATTTTGTCCTAAATCAAGAAGACTATTATTTAAATGTATTATGATAATTATTAGTCAAGCTAAAGATTTAACAGAGTACCAAATGGCTAAAAAATTTTTAAAACGGCTTTTTAATAATGAAAATTCGTTAGCGATTGAAAGCAATCATTCACATTTAAATTGTCAATATGAAAAAGGGTATTCTAATGTTTATGAATGTTTACTTCATTCAAAATATATTCAAAATATTATTTTTAAAGGAGATATAGATAAAAATATTTTAGGAAAATTAACTAAGTATTTATATGGATACAACACTACTGTTTTAATTAATGAAATAATGAAATTAAACGTTAATAAAATTCTTGATTCTATAATCCAAAACATTGATACGACAGAGATTTGTTTAGTAAATGACAACTCTTTTAAAGTCTGTACTATACGTGAAACAACTAAACCTGTTGCAATTTTAAGTTTAAACATATTTGAAGAAAATCACATTAATACTACAAATAAAGATTTCCCTGTTATTTTTGAAAATAATGATGGAGAAGTGTATCGTCTTGTTAGTGGAATTTTCATTAAAGGGTGTTATGAGAATATTGAATATATCCTTTTGAAAAAAATTAATGAAGAAGAATTTGAACTAAATTCAAAATCAGTTAAAAGTGGTAAAATAGTAATAAGACTTAATGAATTGTTAATAATGAGTGAAGGTAATACTATTCTAGGAAATGAAAGGGAAACTTTAGTTCCTGTTATATTGGTTTATGAAAAAGACAATTGGAGTCATTGTGAGATGCCAGGAATTGAACAAGCATTTACTGAAAATATTTATGAGCGTGATCTTAAAGGATTAAAATATGCTACATGGCTGATATCAGATTTAAATACAGCACTTTTTGATGTTGAATTCAAAATTTGGGAACAAACAAAATCTATTATGTCATTCAAGTCTCCATTAAAATTAATGAATACACTTCTTTTATTACCTGAAGAATATCAAAAAGATGTCATATTTCAAATTTTTTGTGTTGTTAGTAATTTAATTTATAAATCTTCTAAACCAAATGTTTCGACTCATATCAAAAAATTAATTTATTTATTTATCCAACTTACTGACAATGAAAAACTTCTTAGATTAACATTAGATGAGTATAACAGAATAAGTAATTTCCAAGAACTTACTTATTCTGAAGATTCATATTACTTTCAATCATTCTTAATTACTCTTTATATTAAACTGTCTTATTATGAATCAATATACTCTAAAACTTGTTACTTCACTTTCTTAACTATGTTGCAAACAATTAATGAACTTAGTATTAATTATCAATCAATAAAAGCTTTTAATACGATTATTTCTGGATTAGTTTTATCTAATCCAAAACATTATGACTTATTCTTGAAGACGCATTTCATCTCCTTTTTATTTAAAATTCTTCCATTTAAATCTACACCCACAGACGAGAAAATTAATATAACTTCAATTTTACATTTATGGCTCATGGTTTCAATCCCTAAGTTCGATATAACGAAATCTTTTAAAAGTCAAATTTGTTATGGAAGCTATGATGAAGAGTTAATTTCTTTATTTATTAAAAAATATGAAATATTTGTTCAATATTCTGTTGACCTCAAATTGTTAATTGCTTTGACTATTCATTTATGTAAAAATAATCAAACAAATACCCAGAATGTTCTAGATACTATCTTGGAAAATATAAATTTCAATGAATATAATTCTTGGAATATACTTCTTGAAGAATTTTTAGACTATGATGATGATTTAAAAGAATTTAAGAGAAATGTTTTTGTGGAACATTTTTCTCTCTTCAAGTTTAGAATAGATTCTACTACAAGACAACTTACAAAGGTTTGTTCTTATTTAGTAAGACTCATTCAAAAGTATACCAACAAAATTAAAAAGAATGAAAACTATTCACGTGTATTAAATGATATAAAACAAACGATAGAAGATAAACTTAAAAGGAATAATGATATTGTTAAGTTATTGAGTCTTTCATTAAAAGAGTTAATTCAAATAAAGAACAATAATCAATCAAGTCAAGTTATTAACTCTTTATTATTTTCAACATATATTGATGTTCTTACTCTTATTGATATCGAAATTAAGAATAGAAATTGTTATTTCATTTTGAAAGATTATGGTATGAACAAAGTTTGTTTAAATAAATTATATCCTACATTTTATTGTTTGTTTCATTTCACTCACTTTATTAGATTCAATTGGTTTATATGAAAGCACTTATAAAACATTGCCAAAAGGAATTTGACTATAGAAATAACAACTCTCATAATGAACAAACTATGTTAGGAATCAGACCTTTAAATTTAGATGTATTAGGTTTGGATTACAGCCCTAAGTCACCAGACTTGTCATTAGCTTCTTCATCAGATTCAACACTCAATTGATTTTTTCTTTCACACCACTTTTAAAATTTAACAAAAATAAAGGGAAATAAGAATTAAAGAGGTTTAAGTTTTAAAGAAGAGAGATGAGAAGAGATGAGAGAGATAGAATTTAATAAAAGAGAAAGATCACCATTGTCGACGTCAAAATTAGAGAAATTAGAAAGAAGGGAGTTGTAATAAAATTCTAAGTTGAGATGAGAAGATAAAGGGAGAATAGGAGAGGAAGTGGATAAAGAGGTAGCGATTTGAGAAGCACGGGAGATTAGAGAAGAGGGGAGATGAGCGAGTCGAGCACAATGGATGCCATAAGAAGAGTCTGATATTCCATTAACAAGATGATATAAAAAAGTGATAGAGTTATTAGATTGATTAAGAAGAACGTCCATTTTAAGAGGAACACATTTATTCAAGTCAATGTAATGAAAAAAGGAAATGAAATGAGTGGAAATGATTGTTTTTGGAGCGTTAGAGCCTAAAGATTGAAGATAGCGAAGTGTAGCAATAAATAAAGCCAAACCATCAGAAGGATGTGTTCCTTTACCAAATTCATCAATAAGTAATAAAGAGTCATTTGAAAGATGACGGAGAGAAGTACTAAGAAGAGAACAGTCTGTAGTAAAAGCAGATAAAGAAGAAAGAGAAGAGTCAGAGGAAGAGAATTTAGTAAAGATGTGACTAAAAAGAGGGATTTGAGCATTAGAAGCACAAACGCCACAACCAAGTAAAGCCATGATAACATTAATTCCGACTTGTCTTAAATAAACTGTTTTACCACTTGAATTAGGACCAGTAAT